GTAAGTACTAATAATTTGTATACTTTATATGTATTGATTTGTGATGCAAAAAACATTACAAACATGGTTGACAAAAATGACAAACATGGTACAATACAAAAGAAACCAACAAACATTACAAAAGAAACCGACAAACAGTACAAAGCATACTACACATACAGAATATCACTACTTACAATACAGATTGGTAAACTTGTATTACAAACAAATGAATACAAAGTATACAAATCATAACATAAAAGTATACAAACTAGAGCAACAAAAATTACAAATTACAATATATACAAAATAGTCATACAAAGATTACAAACAATACAAAACAAAACAACAAACATTACAAAAGAAACCGACTAACAGTACAAAGCATACTACACGTACAGAATATCACTACTTACAATACAGATTGGTAAACTTGTATTACAAACAAATGAATACAAAGTATACAAATCATAACATAAAAGTATACAAAGTTGAATAACAAAAATTACAAATTACAATATATACAAAATAGTCATACAAACATTACAAATGTAATAGAGAAAAATGACAAATAAAAATAATAAACAATACAAACCGAATTGATATAAAGATTACAAAACAGACTTATAAACATCACAAAATAGGTCGACATTACAAATCCAGCAATGTCGCTGGGAAATCATCGGTTGTTATCTCCGATCGCCGTTGTCGGAAATCTCTCTCTCTCTCTGTCCGCGCCCCCAAATAATTCCCATCCCATAAACTCTCTCTCTCTCGCGCAACAGGAACTTTGGAGGGGAAAAATTGGAATTAATGGCCACCCCTCCCCCCTAGGAACATGCCCACGCCGGACGCCGCCGAAGAATTTTTGGCCACATCGTCGGCGTTGGAGAAAAGGACCGCCGGCGGGACTGGGAAAAAAATCATCACGTCGGGCCGGAGAAGGAGCTGGTGCCCGCGACGATATCAGTGATGTATTTTTTTTTAATTGGTAAATAAAATAATCTTGCAATTACTATATTGTCCTTCATTAAATTGGATTAATTTGAGCCATTGAATTTCAATGAGGTGGAAGGGATAAGATTCACTTAGACCAACTCCATTGCAAGCCCCCAAATTTGGGGATCTTCATCCCCAAATTTGGGGTTCATCCCCATTTTCCCTTCTTTTGCTCTAATGCTACATCCTCTATATTTGGAGATCTCCATTTTTTAAGTTTTCCATTTACTTAAAAATGTACTTATCGAAGACTTAATATAATTTGTTAATGTTAATTTTTGTATAGTTCATCATCATTTTTAAATACAAATTTTCCGGTAGAAATTTTTTTAATTTTGAGACCAAATTTTTGTTCACAAAAAATGATTGACCTAATTTGGGTTTACACACAACACTTGAAAATTATTGATCTAATTAAACCCCTAACTAATCCCCTAATTAAACCCCAATTAACCCTTAAAATCTTAAAAAGAAAAAGAAACGCCACGTGGCGGGCTTTGGGGAGTCTCTATATTTGGGGGAACCCCCATTTCCACCCCCAAATTTGGGGATCCTTTTGGAGATCTCCCCCAAAATATAGGGACTCCTCCATTTATAGAGGCTCCATTGGAGCCAACTTTCCCCCAAATATAGAGGCTCCCCCATTTATAGAGGCTCCATTGGAGTTAGCCTTAGCCATGTGAATCTTAGCCCGGTGAAAGGGGCTCAAGATAGGGTGCATAACCCATGGTTATGCACCCATCAATAACCAAATCTGGACCCTTCATTTAGAAAATCCAGATCTAAGGATGGAGAATTAAAGACTATTTTTATTTTCATTAGTTTTCTTAATTGACTCATATCTTTTTCGTTTTAACTCGGATTTTAATTTTTTTTGCACAGATGGAACGGGTTCACCGTGCTCTACAAAATGAGATCAATTTTCGATATTTTTTAGGAAAAAAAATTCTGGCCTCTCGGTACCGACTGCATACCATATGGTATCTTCTTCGTTTTTAATTCATTTTTGAAAACGTTTGCACAGCAGGGATGAGTTCATCATGATCTACTGGATCTACAAATTTCTGGGTGAACAAATTACAGGACCAAAAAATACCACACAATACCATACAATAACACCCTGGTACGGGGTGGTATTGTCTTCTTCGTTTTTAATTCGGTTTTGAAAACGTTTGCACAGAAGGGACGAGTTCATCATGATCTATTGGATCCACAAATTTCTGGGTGAACAAATTACAGGACCAAAAAATACTACACAATACCATACAATACCACCCTGGTACGGGGTAGTATTGTGTGGTATACAATGTTAAAAGTCGTAAATTACAATTAATATACTTCTACTATCATGTATTCAACCATCCTACAGTATTGGTTTGTTCATACCACCATGGTACGTTTTTCAAAACATAGGTATGCTTTTATTTCAATACCAGTCAATACCATATGGTATAGGCTGGTAAAAAATGGCTCAATTTTTTTTGTTCGAAAAATATATTAAAGTGGATATCATTTTGAAGAGCACAATTAATCTGATCTAACTGTGCAAAAAAATTAAATTTCGACTTAAAATGAGCGAGAAATCGTCCGTCAAAGATTAAAAAGCGAAAAATTAAAGGCTTTCCATGAGAGAGAGGATGCTGATGTCATGCTGATGTGGACGGGTTACTCATGGTTACTCACCATAAGTTTACTGACCTGATCCATTCCCGGTGAAAGGAAGAGAGTAGAGATAAAGAATAAAATCCGAAAGAGAGAGTGATTGATCACATGAATACGCAAACAAAGAATTAATATTTAATCAATGAAATGACTGAAATGGAAAAAGTATATCATCGACTCTACTTAGGAGAAGAACCAATGAAAGTGGCCAACTAACATGAGAAATTAGTGTCCTAATAAGAGATTTCTATCCATTTGTTTGAGCTCTTCATTAACTTGGTTGTGATCACCGAACTAACTTTCGAAAACACTGCAACACACAGCTAGAAGCCCCATGCTATGACACAATGGAAAACATTTAATGATTCGGATTATACTATCACAGAACCAATATGCTTTCACACAAGTATCCGCTTACTCTCCATGATTAATTCATAGGTGCATACCCAATCAACGGATTCAGATAAAAGATAAACAATCAGCACATCATTCCTTGTAATTAACGGGTAAGAACGAAAATAAGCTGTAGAGGTCGAGAAAAAGAGATTACCGGCATTGTCGTCAGCTGAAGCTTCTTCTTTCCAGCCACCATAAAGCTCCTCTCAACGCAACTCCTCCCACGACCCGTATCCTGCAACAATCCCAATCCAATTAAAACAAAAAGAATCTATATGAGGAGCATAATAAGTAAAATTAAAAGAAATTTGTTGCCGGCCAAACATTGTAAACTAACAATTCAAAAGCAAAAGAGTAAATTATCCCATCATTTTAATAGTTTGATTCTAATTGCATGATAATGGGGTTGGCTGGAGATTGGTTCACCGCATAGTTACCAAATTCGATTGTTCGAAGCAGCGGGAGTAAACAAACACCAAAAATCATGACTCACCTTAGATTCGGTGGTTGGCTCGAGAAGGGTTCACCCCTGGTTCCTCGTTTGTTGAGAGCGACGGCAGGGGGGACAAGCGCGTGTTTCCTCGACGGGAGGACGTGGGAAAGAGGCCGTCGATCACCGACGGCAGGGGAACAAAAAATAGGGTTTCCAGCCTTCACCTGTGCCCGAGAACCTTCCTCCCGCAGATGCTCATGAGCTGCACCGTCACCACCCCTTCTCGCCGGAGAACTCGGCAGCAGCGGACCGTTAGTGTCTTCCTCCGCTGAGCAGCAAAACGCCAGGCCCACTTCCCAAAATTGTCCTCTGCAAACTAAATCCCTTGTCGTGCTGCGGGAAGGAGAAAGTAAAACATAGAAAACCCAGGAGAAAAGGTAAGGAGATTTCAGCCAAAACAAAAAAAAGTAGTGGGAACGGGACGGTTTCTTATCTCTCCCAACAGGTGAGGATTTCTAATTTAATCCCTCGTAAGCACCTTGCCACGTCAGCCTCCTAAAATCACTCTACGGGTATGAAAATTTGAATGGGGAGTGCGTTTTACTTTTCAGCTATAAATGATACTAGCTTATCACCCGGCCCGTTGGCCTGATTACTGTATGTTACCCACTTGTGGAATGGGAGAGAAAGCAAGTGAGAGTGAAGGGATTGAGATTCCACTTGATTAGGACCGACCCACTAATCTGATTCTTCCCGACCCGCCCCAACCTAAAGGGTCAGAAAGAGTCAATAAGAAAATACGAACGGGGAGGATTAGTCATATATCTTGACTCTTCAGAAGTGGGTCAAATAGGATCAAGGTTGGGTGAGCGCAATTTTTAGCGCTAAGCAGAGTTCTGGGTTGAATAACTTTACTTAGGCCTAGAAATTGGTGCTGATGCAGACGGCAGTTTTTATTATACCATCATCAATCATCATTGAATTAGTCCTGGGCATCCCTCCCCGTTGTCGGTCTGAATTCTAATGATGGCTTCATTCCTTGACCAGCCATATCAGCGAGTTGTCATCTCGAGCATGATTTGCCTATGTACAAATGATACAATTAGAGTAGGGGTGGGAATCGGTCGGTAAACGGTAAACCGTTTACCGAATTTACCGGTTTCGGTATACCGACGGTGGCCAAACTGTTTACCGTTTACCGATACCGGTTTGTAACCGGTTTACCGATTACCGAATTACCCGTAAACGATTACAAACCGGTTTACCGAATTACCGTGAAGGGCGACGTGGGAAGCAATTCTGCAATTCTTACCCGGCGGAGTAGGACGACAGGAGCGGGGGAGGACTGGGAAGTGGGAACTGGGAACGGGAAGGGCTGGCGAGTGGCAACGGGAAGGGCTACCGACGGGACTGGGTACGCGTCGCGCGTCGGCGAGGGAAGGGAGAGACCCGGCGATTTACCGGCGAGGGAAGTGATCTAGACTCGAATGGTTATATGATCGAATAGAGAAGAGAAGAGTAAAAGTAAATACCAGGTCGGGCCTCATTCTTGAAGTACAGGACGCCGGCAGATTTTGGTGGAGCCCTGTTACCCACCTCCCCCAAACAACAGAATTAGGCAACAATGACATCACAATAACAAATTCAGAAAGTGAGTCGTCATAGAAAGAAAAACAGAGGATTGTGATGTATATAGATAAGCACGCACATGTGTGTTAACGACGCCGCCGAAGAATTTCTCGATGGCACGTCCGCCGGAGATATCATTCCTGCAAAAACAGAGTGGATAGATTCAGACAGTGCAAAAATGAAAATTGCAATTGATGATGGAGGGAGGGAGCAAACAATTAACAACTCACCCGTGGATGAAGAAGCCGGCATCGGAGACACATTTGACTCGGGCAGTTGGAGGGAGGAGTGCCTTGAATTTTTCGGCATCGGAGACGCATTTGATTCGGTATCGGTAATACCGGTTTACCGTCGGTATTTACCGATACCGTGTCCGGTAAACCGACACCCCCAACCTTCCCCTCGGCTACCGATACCGCCGGTAAACGGTTTACCGTTTACCGTCGGTTACCGGTTCGGTAAAACGGTAAACCGTTTACCGGATTACCGAATCCCACCCCTAAATTAGAGTATGAAACTGAATTCAAAGAAAAGGAAAAGAGAATTCTATCACATGCCAATAAATATACACATAATAGTTGAAGCTAAGTGAAAGTCATTACTCGCACATCAATTCTCAAAAATTACAGACTAAACAATGGCTAGAATGGCACTGAAACTACCAAGAATCATGGATGAAACAACTTGTCAAATTAAATAATCCTTATACTGAAACTACCTTCTAACTTGAAATAAGACATGATCACAGTTCATAGCTCTCTTCTCACTATGAATTGGTTGCAGCTCGTCCTTATCACTGCCTCCCAAGCTCAATTCAAACATAATAGAGACCGTTATGTAAGATAGTCATATCCTTACTGATCATAATTCCTTTCTTCACTCCATTTTTATCGGAGAAAAGAGTTATTCCCCTCTCCTGCATTTTCCTTTCCCCCTCTCTTCTCCTTCTTCTTCACAAACTGATCCCTAAACCAGCAACAACAACATAAAAATAGCCTTCGCCTCTGCCATCTCCATCTACTGAACGCGTTGGTGGCAAGACAGGACTGCAGAAGCAAAATTTTCTAAAATCAAACTAAATTTTTTGAAGGAGACTCAACCACGAAAAAAGAGTAAAGCAACAATGCTAATAGTTCAGATGGTTGGTTTTGATGTTATACGTTGCTTTTGTTCTGGTCTCCAGTATATCAACTGCAACAGAGATGTTTCCTCCAATCATCTTTAGTGCATGATTTAGAAGCAAGTCCTCCTGTTTGTGTCAAACGGAAACATTCATGGGTTCTTAACTCCCCTGTTAGTGTAAATGCAGCAGCAGCAAAGAAGTTTGACAACACAGCAAGCACCCAGGCAAAATGATACAATGCAGTAGGTGATATGTGTCTCGAAGGTTTTGAGTTACTAAAGTTCATGTTAAAAATAAACATGAATTAAAATGGATTATTCTATTAAGCAAACATCCCCTCTAATCATACAAAGATCAGATATCCAATTCACAAACAATTAAGCCATAAAAATCATCACACATACACCACCTTTGATTGCCTAAATTTGGGTTTTCGTAAAGTTATGGACTCTTAAGGGTAACGTTCATGGGTAGTCTGTTTCATAACTCTAGAGAGCACAGTAAGCAGCCACCAGCCAGACACAGTGCGGTAGGCGAATATGATTCTCAATTCACAATTTCTCACCACCAGAAGTAAGAATAGACCATAATAAGCGTAGCGTTCATGGGTGGTCTGTTTCATAGCACTACTACACAATTTGTTAAAAAAGAAAGAAAGGTATTTAGCATCACGGCGGAACAACTTTTACAGGCCAACAACGACAACTTGCTGCATCCACCAGAACTGGTATCACAACTCATAGGGAAAATCAAAAGATTTACTCTCAAATTAAGTAGTTACAACATCGAGCAATCGTCAAGCACATACACCATCACAAAAGTCACGGAACCTGATTCACAAAGCATTCAAACATTTGAGGAGATTTCTGCAAAGGTAACTTATACGTCTTTTTTCCAAGCCATTTCCATCAACATGCTAATAAATTTGCAATGCATAAAACAAACGGGCCAAAACTTGAAATTCAGCCTATTTGACCGACCCATGCCAAATTCTAATTATTCTTTACTTTTAAACTTTCTATTTGAAAATAAAAAATAGTGAAAGAAAAGAGACGACTACAATTCGCCATTTTCACATCACTTATTCGGGAATAAAACCATAGAAATTCAAAAGGAACTGAAAATGTTTATGATCGTTTTAATGTTTAAAATAACCAAATAGATCTTTATGTTTAATTTTTTACTAACAAATACCAAACGATTCCCTATAAAATACACTATAATTTGATCATTATGATATCAAATAATTATAAAATACATATTTGAAATGATAAAAATTGGACTAATTGGGTTGGTCGAGGTTGAACCATTGAATAACTTTAAAATATATTATATTTTAGCCACTAAGATCTAAAATAATAGCATAATATATATTATGCCAGAGAAAATAGCTTGTTTTAGAATGACAAACCAATGATGTTCATTTGTTTTACTTGATGGCCAAATCCCATGTAAGTCAGACCCATTCAACTCTTTTATTTTATCGTTAGCGGTTAGCCAATTAGATACCATCCATAAGTTTATTGTTAAATTTTTTATTTTTAACAATAAAAAGGAGTGTTATTTTTGCCTTTTCATATATATTTTATCACCACGGAGAAATAAAAGGGCTTAAAGGAAAAAAAATTGACACTCCTAGACCCGTTTAAATTCGCATGTGTACGGTAAGTTGGCCCGTTCCACAGAGGAAAGAGAAAAAAATTGACACTCCTTATTCTACCATTCCTAAAAACGCTCCTGGAGCAAGGAATTTGAAATGGGGACGAGTTTTTTCCTCCCTGCTATTATATGTTTGTAATTTAAAAAGATACAATAAATGTACTTAGTGTGATTGGTTATTATCATTGCTTTTCTTTAAAATGGTCATGGTTCGAATCCCAATACGTGTCTTTTTAATGAATAAAAAAAAGTAATTGTGAAAACCAAAATGTTCTTCCTACAAACGCTCTGAGCGTCCGAAATTTGAAATGGTGTTTGGGTTTTCGGCTACCAGCTTTTATAAAAGGTGTACATAGATTTTTTATAGGGCTAATACCACTTGGAAACCCGAACTATTAACTTTGTGCCATTTGTGTCCTAAAGTATTCGATATGACAATTGTGTCCTAAACTATTTCTCCGTTAGAGTTGACCGGCGTTGACCGTTAGTTTTTAACAGAAAATCCAGTAAGCGCTGATGTGGCATCTGAAGTGGAATTTATAATATTATAATTTATAATTATTTTTCATATAAAAAAGAAAATTACAAAAATAAAAAAATAAAAACCCATCTCCATCGTCTTCTCCGACCTCTCTCCTTCTCGTCCACGTTACACTGACCGGCGGTAACCAGAGAGAAGCGGAAAACTACAAACGCCGTCGACTTCCTCTGCAATTTTCACAATCGGAAATGAAGAAGAAGAAGAACGGCAGCCATCATCATCCTCATCATCACTACAACTGCCCCGCCGCAGCTCAGCTCCACCAGATTTCCCTCATCCTCCGCTGTCGTCGCGGCGGCCACTATCTCTTCCCGTTGATCTCGGCTCTGTCCGCCTCCGTCTTTCTCTTCCTCGTCGCTTTCGCTCTCCTCTCCTCCCCAGCCGATAGCGTCGTGATCGCAGCCGCCACCGTCTCGTCACACGACGACAGAGCTAAGGGGGAAATCTCCCCCATCAGTATCTCGTCGCAATCGACGACGACCGCGGAAGTCTGGTCGAAGAAGACAGCTTCTGCTTCTGCTGCTGCTTTTTCCTCATTTAGCTCTGCCTAGCTTTGATCGGAACCACCAAATTTTGCACCCCTTTCAGTATCAGATCTATCGCTTCCCCCAAACTGCACAAAAAAACCCAAATTTCTCCATTCAAACACCCAAAACCAATCAATTCGAGAGGTTCCCCTCTGTTTCTCCCTCTTTTTTCAAATTTCACTAATCCAATATCTGGAATGAAACCCAGGAAACCCAGATCCAATGAAACCAAGAAGTGGCGGCGTTGAAATTAGATCTGCAGCGACGCGACGATTTGGATGGGGTCAGAGATTTGGAATTGGTACGAGCTTCCCTCCGTCTCCTCGTCGACGATTTGGAAGGTTTCCCCACCTTCATCGCCTGATGGGAGCCGCCGCTCCACCTTCCTCCTGTCCAGCGCAGTCGATTTGGAATTGGCGGAGGGAGGAGCAAGGTTGTTCTCGCTCTGACGGGGGGAGGAGCGCAAGGGAAGGACGAGCAGCTAGAATGGAGAAGGGATTAGTTTTTATTTTTTATTTAATTTTAATTTTAATTTAAAAATAATAATCTGATGTGGCAGCTGACGTGGCGCAGATGTGGCTGCCACATATGTGTCATGTAACCAACAGTCAACATTTTATGGTTGACCGTTTGGTCAACCGTTATCTATAACGGTCAACGAAATTGTCAGGACGTAAATGACACAAAACTATCAAACGTTGGGACACAATTGTCATATCGAATACTTTAGGACACAAATGACACAAAGTTAATACTTCGGGTTTCCCAGTGGTATTAGCCCTTTTTTATAAAGCAGATTCATTGGTTGAATTTTCTCTATTTCAAATTTCGAGTAACTAGAGTGAAAGGAGGAAGGGTATTTTTGTCTTCACAATTAGTTATTTTTTTTGTATAAAAACATATTAGCTCCAAGATTTGAACCATGGCCTCTTTAAACAAAGACAAGAAACATAACATTTTACACAAAACAAATAGGTTTATAATTTTTAGTCTAAATTACATGTTTGGTCACCCAAATTATGCAAATCTTTCATGTTTGCCACCCGAATTACTTTTCTTTCTTATTCGCCACTAACTTTACGATTGGTTTCAACGTTAGTCACCCACCGTTACACTCCGTTAAATTTGTCCTACGTGGCAGTCAACTATAAAGTTTGACCGTTAACTAGATGACATGAAAAATTAAAGAGATAAAAAATTTATTTTCCACTACTACCATTCCATTTATTTTGTCAATATGATTTATCATATTACAAATTAATTAAATTACATAAATAAACTAGCAAAAGCCCGCTCGTTATCACTTCGTGTATTACCAAGATATATATTTTAAAAAGTAATCATTTTAGTGTTGAACTAAAAGTGAAATTCATCTTATTTCATTGCTAATCATTCTTTTCATATGTTTGTTATTTACAATAGCATATGGTCGATGAACTTGGATAAGGTAG